TTGTCTTTTCTGATTTCATCTCTCTCCTTCTTCACTTCTTTCACCAAATTCACCTTAAAACCTGCACAAAAACACTGAAATCAAGCATAAACCTGTCCAGCTCTCTTATTTCTAAAAACATGAAGAAAAGCATGATTTCAAGCTAGTTTCTAAGTGTAAAGGTTGCTTTTAGTGTCAATTTTAATCATGAAAATAACAGTTTTTCAACTGTTATCACTTACCAGGAGTGGTGCTAATACTCAAAGGAAATCTCGGCGGGGTTGCTAAGTACCACGAGTGGTGCTAATAGTAATTTGTAATCGTGTGAAAATTATAGTGAAACTCTCTACGGAGGAGCCTAGACGTAGCTCAGTGGGAGAGAACCAGTATAAAATCTCTTGTGGAATTATCTCTTCTTTTACCTAAATGATCCTCGTGTGAAAACGTGCAGTCACACTTTATTTCTAAACATAAGAATCTTTCAGGCTAAACAATCTTATTTATAAAGGAAGTTCTTAATAAAACACTACAGTATCTAAATTATAAGTAACACGCTAAAATCTGTTATTATACAAATCTATTAAGTCGAGCTTCTAATCATTTAAAGAAAAATTCCAAGAGCTCGATAACATGCTTTATCAGAAGGGTTGCGAAAAGTTTTTCATTAACACTATTCAACCCCTCCCCCTTGTAGTATTTTTCAGGTACTTCATTCTAAACTTACCACCACACATCAAACACTTCCTCGAGAATCCTACTTCACCTTGTATGAATCATTCATCCGCTTTCATGCTTAACTTTGTTGCTTCCTCTATTTCATTGGCTCATTTCTTTATCTGCATCTTGATCAAACTCACATCCACACATGGAGAGGACTTATCAGCTCACCACCTTCATCATCGGGTATATATGATGGAAAATTGATTTGGTGCAAACTAAAATGAAGGAGTTGGACTAAGTCAATCTCGATTAGTCTACACAATAGAAACCAATGATGGAGTATGATCCAAAGAATGGGTCAAAACCCACATGAAGGAACAAGTCTTGGTGCTAAGATGATGGAAACCCTCTTCACTCAAGTTGAAGAAGAATCCTTGGAGATGATGTACTGGACGTGAAAGCATGTAAAGATGAAGGATGTTGTGTTTGGAGAGTGGTAGTAGGTACAAACCATAACCCTTACTTTTTTTGTTATCTGGTATTTCACTATTCAATTAAAATGGCTAATGCTCCTTATGATGCAGGGGACTTCCTATGTAACACCCCAATTTTGGGATGTCACGATTACGAGTGAAAATTTAAGAATTTTAAAATGATAATACCATTGCGGAAATTCAAATTCGATAAGTCTTTACAATTCAAGAAAAATAAACCAAAATTTCAATTTAATTACAAAATAAAACTAAAAAAAATAGTTTATTCAAATAACCATAAATTTCCCAACTCTATTAAGCCACTCGTTCAGCTATACAACATCCGAACTAACTACATAATAATCTGCTCCCGTATAAAAGCGATCATCATAGGCGAAAACCACAACCACAATATGTCAGAGTGAGCTAACAGAAACAAGTCATATAAACATACATATGTAATAAACATCTACTTAGAATAATATTTCTGAACAGTACGCATCTTCATACACCTATACATATCTTCACATCACATCACATACATCACCTTAAAATAAATAATTAACAACCACAATATCAACAATCAAAGTCACTAGCATATAACCCTACAACTATTTTGTCAAAGTAACCAAGTCACATCCAAACTCACTCAATCAATCACAAACTCATATCCAATTTGTCTAACATCTGATTGACTAAGTGCAGAAAGGGCTTTAGACGTCTGTTATTTTGAGCTTTTAACGTCTGATCTCTGTCCGACGTCTATATGGGTGACGTTAATGAGACGTCGGACCCAATAGGTCAGACGTCTATATAGACGTCCGATCCATACAGGTCAGACGTCTATATAGACGTCTAACACTATAGATCACACATCTAAAACGTTGTCGTATTTGATTGGATCTTTTTTCTGCTTGAGGCCTCTCGGGTTGCTCCTGGCTCATGGTGATTCGAGTTTACAACTTTATATTTTAGTTGAAGAGAATGTATTGTACGTTTTTTTTGTATTGGATGGTTTTAGAAACGTAGTGGAGAGAATTGAAGGAGTGCAAAACGCAAGAAATCGCCGCCCAAGGACACGAGCAAAACTGCACCAAAACCCAACGAAAACGCATTTTAATCGGTTCAAATGAAAGATAATGCATCAAAGAGTGATGTAATTGGAGTAAAATTAATTTAAAACGGTGCAAAAGTGAGAAAACGAACATGAAAAGCGTAACCTGTAGAGAGAAAACGCGAGGAAGATGATGAACAATAAGTGCGCGTAATTGCTGCCTAGCGTTCGCGGTGTTTTAATGCAGCCATATAGAAGTCGGTTCCCCCATATCAGATGTCTATATGGCTGTAAAAGTCGGATTGGCGATATCGAACGTCTAAATGGAGTTAAAAAGTAACTTTTTAGATTTCAAAAATAAGTATATAGAAGTCGGTTCCTCCCACATCAGACGTCTATATGACTGTATAAGTCGGATTGGCGGGATCGGACATCTAAATGGAGTTAAAAAGTAACTTTTTAGATTTCTAAAATGAGTATATAAAAGTCGGTTTCCCTTACATCGGACGTCTATATGACTGTAGAAGTCAGATTGGCGGGATCGAACGTCTATATGGCTGTAGAAGTCGGATTGGCGGGATCAGACATCTAAATAGAGTTCAAAAGTAACTTTTTAGATTTCAAAAATGACTATATAGAAGTCGGTTCCCCCCACATCGAACGTGTATATGGCTGTAGAAGTCGGATTGGCGGGATCGGACGTCTAAATGGAGTCAAAAAGTGACTTTTTAGATTTAAAAAATGAGTATATAGAAGTTTGTTCCCCCACATCAGACGTCTATATGGCTTTAGAGGTTTGTTCTCTCTAGAACAAACATCTATATGGTTGTTTTATTTACAAAAAATGCCACCGGTCATTTTTTACGTTGGATATTTGAGGGTCGGACGTCTAAAGGGTGACGTTAAAGGCCTGTTCTGCACTAGTACCAGATTACTCGCATGCACCCATAAGGTCAAGTGTCACCTCCCACCACTCTCATAAAGAACTTCACCGGGTCGGTACACTTTACGAAACCATTACACAATGACATTTCCCACCACTCTCTTGAAGGCTTCACTGGCAAGTACAACACTATCCACCACTCTCTTAGATCTTCATCGGGCAAGTTTAGACTTCCCACCACTCTCCTAAAGCTTCACTAGGCAAGTATACACTTTCCACCACTCTCTTGGAGCTTCACCGGACAAGTATACACTCCCTACCACTCTATTCTCAAAGAGCTTCACCGGGATAATAATCACTCCCCACCACTTTATTCCCATGTTTAAACTCTTGATTTTTTGTGAAAGAAGATGGAACAAATTTTCTTCTTATGCATGCTCTTAAATCATCCCAATCTCTAATTTCGTGAAAGAAGATGGAACAAATTTTCCCACCACTCTCTTGAAGGCTTCACTGGCAAGTACAACACTATCCACCACTCTCTTAGATGGAACAAGTTTTATTACACTTGACACATACTCATTATTTTGGACTCTTCCATGCTATACAACTTATCAACTTCATTAAAAATTATAGTCCAATATTGAAATTCTATCTCCAAATTCAACAATGCAACACTTTAAACAAAATGAAAATAATATTTATTTCATTTTTCCAAAAGTTAAATCTAAGCCAAATGTTTCGTTGAAAGGGTATGAGGTTAGTCGTCCTTCCTCCCTCTACTCTGCTTCGTTCGCTCACTCCTGCGCTCCACTTCGTCATTTACCTATCTGCTCTGCTTTGTCTCTTGAATAAGTTGACTTCTCCAAGTTATTTACTTCTGAACGATGGATGACCTGTAGAAGATATTCCAACGTTCAAGTCAGATATGTTTCATAAAGAGGTATCTATTTTGTTAGGATAAATCAAGGTTATTTTACCTGGACATCAATGTATATTTATAGGGCTTGTGATAGCCAAACACATTGATTAACTATTAAGACATTATACTTTTATGCAATCAAACCCAATAATCAATTATTAATACCGTATATTTGTAAAGCGTAAGACAATCTAACCCATTAATACATGCTAATATATTTGCTAACTGCCTATAAATGACCATGTATATTTCATATCTTGAATACAAAATTTGTATTATGGATGATGCATTCATAAATGTGTCAAATAAATAAAAGAACTTGTAAAACCCACGTACTTGTTTCAAACAAATTATGTTATGTTTTTCTTTTTTTGTGGTTATAATGATTTATTGATTTATTCAAATATGTTTTTTTTCTAAAGATTGTATTATTTTTAAATTTTGGTTGATACTCGAAACTTACAACTTTTAACAAAAAGAAAAGAAAAGAAAAAAAAACATTTTAACATTTTAACTTACGTTAGATCAAGCGCTGACTGAATTTAACATAAAAAAAAATACAAAAAAACCCAACCTAATATTTTTTAGTAATAATGAACTTATATGAATTCTAACGTGGAATATACCAATATAAAAAAAGGGAAGAAATAAACAAATGTAGAAAGAAAAACTAATAGGTAGTGAAAAAAAAAATACTTTTGCTAAATTAAAAAAAAAAACAGAATATATATTCACATTCTATGCCATTAATGATTTAGAATGTTTGATTCTATGTAATCGGATATTCTAGTTACAACATTATTTCAACAAAATAAATAATAAAAATAACATTACGTGAAAAAATCACAGAGAATAGAAAAGTAAAAGTAATAATATATAATACAAAAACATATATGATAAAATAATAAAAAAATATGACGGAGATGGGTCATCACGTTGGTGTTTTAGCTTCTTAGAAACAATATGCATATGATTTAGGATGATTACACTGAGAGCGCAGAAAACTAACACCATTTTTTCCATTTTAATATTACATACAAAGCAATTGTTTTAACCATATGTCCCAAATTAAATTCATTGAATTGATGTACCCACATTTTCCTTCGCATAAACTGCACTGTAATAATTCTAAACCCCTTCTCTGCATCACCGTCAACTATTTCTCTCTTGCAGATCGGTTAGACCCGAAACCCTGCTATTGCCACTGCGCTAGCTAGGGTTTCATTTCACCTTCTCCGAACAATCTCGCTCCCGCATGCTCAACTGAAACCAATCGCATCACTCAGCAATTCGGTGGAGCTAATTCCCCAGCAGATGATATGAAACCGTGCTCGCGGACCAAGCCTCTTCTTCTGCTCTTTCTGCTGCTTCTCCACCATCACGCCGCCGTCGCTCTCTCCGATGCTTCCAAAAGCAAAAACAACTTCCGCGAGCGCGAAGCCTCCGATGACTCACTTGGATACCCTGAAATGTAACACTCTCCTGCATGCTTTCGATTTTAAGGCTTGTTTGGTAATCTGTTTAATTTTGGCACTAGTCGCTTTTTTTGCCGAGCTAGAAAGAATAACTTTGTGTATAATATGGTGAACCAATCACACATCTTGATTAGGAGCAAGCTTTTATATAATCTTTTATAGAATTGGGGCTTGGCATTGACCCCGATAATCTGCGTTGTATAAAGGTTTGCGCGGAGGTCGCTGTAGGTTATCGAGTTGGAGCTTAAACTATAATTCTGATTAGAGAATAGTACTATGAGGGGGTGTTTTATTTCCATTCTATGAAACTGCTTTTAGTTTTCAATTTGTAACTTAACCTGGTTGCTTCTAATTATGATTACAGTAGTACTGAGGGTGTGATTGATTTCCATTTTCAAAAACTGCTTTTAGTTTTCAATGTGTAACTAAGCAAGGTTGCTTTGTGGACTGGTGAAGAGTTGTGCGTGCGTCGCACACCAGAGTGTGGAATGGACGGAGAAGTTGAACAGAATGAAAACTATAAGAAGAATATGAGAAAATGTCCTATCTATTTTTTATTTTTTAATTTGTTTTAGGAACAAATTTATAATTTAATAGATTTTGATGATAAATTGATTGAGTAGTACGGAATTGTTTTAGAAAATGGTATTTAACACCAAAAACTTAGAAGGAAATCTAACATGTCCTAAGGATTTGTAGCATTGTATGTAAATATTTTACTTCTAATTACTCTCTTCTTGATTTCCCTTTTTTTATGGGCTTTGTTAGAGATGAGGATGCTCTTGTGAATTCGAAGTGTCCTAAGAATTTGGAGCTCAGGTGGCAAACTGAAGTTAGTTCAAGCATCTATGCAAATCCCTTGATTGCTGATATTAATAGGTAAGTTGTTTATGTGCTCTGCTTGTTGAGTGATTTGTATTTTTATTATTATTTATTTTCATTTCGTCAAATGTCTGCCCGATTGTTTTGCAGTGATGGGAAGCTTGAGGTCGTGGTTCCCTCTTTTGTTCACTACCTTGAGGTTCTAGAAGGTGCTGATGGGGACAAAATGCCAGGTAAAAAGATTTTTGGGTTTTACTAGTTTTTTTATGATAGGCTTGGGTCAATGATGTCGTTGAGGTTGCAACATTTATAGAGAACAAAATATATCTTTTTCCCCTGATTATATTATATTATTATGGTTTAAATGTAGATAAATTAAGGTTGGTTGTATTTTATAATATGGAGATATACGTAGGCTTGTGATTAAAAGGGCTTTGGCCTCAGGCAGAATAAGTTTTGCAGTTAATGTGGTGGTTATTTGATAATATGGAGATACGTGTTAAGAAGTGAACTTTAAGCCTAATTCAATTCCACAAAAAAATCGGCTTGTAAGGTGAGATTTACACCCACTTATATACTTTAAATTGGCTTTATTTCTAGTCAATGTAGGAGTTCCAATAGTACGTAAGCTAGTAACTGTATTTGGCCTGTGCCTATTTTGTACGACTTCTGGAAGTTAATGTGGTGGTTCTAGCTTATATAGCCCTTTACCAGAGCTACATGATGCTTTAAACTTTGACAAGGGTAAAGACAGCCTACCCTTAGTAATGCTGAATGATTAATATTCTTAGAAAGTTATTGTAAGCCTTACTCAACCTTTAAAAATTAACTTGTAAGATTTATATTCACTTATATATTATAATTTGACCCAAATTTCTAGTTGATGCAGAACAAAATTCATGAAATATCTTAAACTTATTTTTGGGCTTGAGATATGTTTAATTTGGCAATGAAGTACCACGTAGGCATAGCTGTTTTTGGTACTGAAAGCAGATTTGACCTTACATGGCCTATATGAATATGGCCTATAATTATTGGTACTATCACTTGTAACTTGTTAATAGGGCCCATAATTCCTCATGGCTCCTGCTCAAGGAACTATGAAAATTATATTAATATAGAAGGTCGTGGTGGGGAGAGAATCCTGAATGGGATCAATGGTAATGTTGTTATTCAGACTTTGCGTAAACTGACTGACTGCTAATGCTTAGAATCACGGCTTGTGCTTATTGTGATAGATTAATTTAGGTTTGATTTTGAGTTTTCTAAACATAATATTCTGAATGGTACTTAGGCTGGCCTGCTTTTCACCAATCAACTGTGCATTCTAGTCCTCTTCTATATGACATTGACAAAGATGGGGTGAGAGAAATAGCTTTGGCAACCTACAATGGTGAAGTGCTGTTTTTCAGGTGACATTTTCCTATTTCATACTTTCAATATTTTTCTTCCAATAACAATTACCTTTCACTTGTGGTGCTTTTATCAAGGTTGTAATGAGTTACCATTTTTAGGGTTTCGGGCTATCTAATGTCAGATAAGCTAGAGATCCCACGTAGGAAGGTGCTAAAAGATTGGTTTGTGGGCTTGGATCCTGACCCAGTGGATCGTTCTCACGCTAATATTCATGATGACCAACTTGTCCAAGAGGCTACTATCAAGAATTCTATGTCTCGTAAGTCTCTGCTGTGGTCAGATCACTTTTTTGCTAGTGTAACGTTTAGAGATTCTCGTATTTTCATCTTCAACCTAATAAAATAGCTTTCACAGGGTTTAACAACTGCATATAATTTTGTGTTCATGTGTTGCAAAATATATATTTATTTAATTAAATTTAATTAATTTTATGTTTTGTGTAATAATTCTCCTTGTAGAAATGAATGGAAGTAGACATGAAGCTAAATCTTCAGTGGCCACATCTACCGAGAACCCCCCTGACACAAAAAAACAGTTTAATTCTGAGCCAGAAAAGAAAGTAAATGGAAGTCAAGTAGGTGAGAGCATTAAGGTGTCTAATCTTGAGCCGGTGGTAAAGAAAATAAATGGAAGTGAAGTAGATGAGAGTTTGAAGGTGCCTAATCTTGAGCCAGAAAAGAAAATAAATGGAAGTCAAGTAGAGGAAAGTATTAAGGTGCCTAATCTTGAGCCAGAAAAGAAAATAAATGAAAGTCAAGTACATGAAAGTATTAAGGTGCCAACAAATGTTGATAATTCCTCTGTGAATGCTGGGTCTCTGGAAACGGTTCACACAGAAGATAAGACCAGCACTGGGAGACGTTTGCTGGAAGATAACAATTCCAAAGAAGCAAAGCAAGGTGTTTCTGAAACAGAGGGTATTCATGCTTCAACTGTGGAAACTGAGGAAGTGTTGGAAGCTGATGCTGATTCATCTTTTGAGTTATTCCGCAATAGTGAAGAGCTGGCTGATGAGTATAGCTATGATTATGATGATTATGTTGATGAAACAATGTGGGGTGATGAAGAATGGAATGAAGTTAAGCATGATAAATTAGAGGATCATGTAAATGTTGACTCTCACATCTTGTGCACTCCTGTGAGTTCCTGTTTTACTTTTCTGTTATTATATTACAAAATCTACAAAATCTTTATTCTGCTTAGTTCTAAGAAAGAAAAGTATAAAAACAATGGCTTTTGCATTTTGTCATCTTCTTGCCTTTTGCAGGTCATTGCAGATATTGACAATGATGGTGTTTCAGAAATGATTGTTGCTGTTTCTTATTTCTTTGATCACGAGTGAGTCCATCTGTAGCTTACACAACTTTTAAATTTCACTAATACTTTTGATTGGTTTTCATGCACTAATAATTATGTCATTGGAATTTCATGGTAAAGTACGATGCTACTGTACAACTTTTTTGTTTCGATTAAATACATGCATCCTAGTTAACAATTTTTTTCTCTCATATCTAGGAAGGTGAATGTCATCTTAATAGTTCTTAAGTTGGTTACCAGTCCTTTGTCCTTTTATTTTTACAGCTATGATACCCATATGAATATCATTGTAAAATAAATAATGGATGAAAAAAGATTCCTTCACACTTCAGTCTTGCAGACAAATAAATTTAACATAAATGACTTCAACTCAGTGTTATTAATATGGATAACGGAAAATATCGGAGACCTAAAATTCCTTTATAAAAGATATATCGTTAGCTATAATGGGTTACGCCGGAAGTATTGTGGACAAAATAAAATTATATATATGTGTATATATATATATATATATATATATTTATAATGTGTTTTATGTTAATTAGGTAATTGTCGACTTTTGCTATTGTTTGATATTGGTAGATAGTGTTTTTAAAAATATCTTCTATTTACTATATTTATGTTTGGTTGCCTTATATACTTGTATCATTTTTCATTATAGATATATTATCCTGTGTGTTTTAGACGCAAGGAAGATTAATTTTATACTTAGTCTTACTATATTCAATATATAATATAGAAAATGCAAAATATAGATATTGATAACTTAAAATAATCCAGAAATGTAATTATTACTCAAAAATAATGAATGACAATAAATAGCTACTAATGAATCATATTTAAAAAAAATCAAATAACAAAAAATAAAATTAAAAGCCATAATTTTCAAGTTCAAAATTTAAATATAATAAAACATAATGTAGGAGCTGCTGGTTCAATGTGGGTAGGATGGACATGCAGCAGCGTCAGCGGAAAATGCCAGCGTCCGCTGTAGCGACAGCAATGTCACCGGCAGCAGGAGTGTCAGCTGTGTTAGCGGCAGTGACAGCTGCTGCGGTAGCGGTAGTGGCAGCGGCTATAGAAGTCGGTCTGCACAATAGTGAAGGAGAGGTTGTGGGCTCAATGTGGGTAGGGTATCCTAAGTCAATATTCTGTTCTAATGTTCGGTTTGAGTTGGGTTGTTTGTTGCAGCTCTTTTTTCTGAAAGAAAAAACACTTGGGCTCACTACTGGTGGAAAAATAAGAAAAGAAGGATGAGCGGATAATGCTAGCGTCCGCAGTAGCGACAGCAATGTCATCGGCAGCAGCAGTGTCAGCTGCGTTAGCGGCAGTGACAGTTGCAGCTGCTGCGGTAGCGGCAGCGGCTATAGTAGTCGGTCTGCACAATAGTGAAGGAGAGGTTGTGGGCTCAATGTGGGTAGGGTATCCTAAGTCTATATTCTGTTCTAATGTTTGGTTTGAGTTGGGTTGTTTGTTGCAGCTCTTTTTTCTGAAAGAAAAAACACTTGGGCTCACTACTGGTGGAAAAATAAGAAAAGAAGGATGATTACACTTTTCACTTCTTGGGTTGGGTCCATAGCTTATTCTCTTTTAGTTTCCCACCTCCATCTTTGTTATTTCGTTGTTTCTCGTGGCCTCTGCTGCCACTACTCCTTCGTTTCCTTAGGTGCCGCCTTGTCACTCCGTTTGCAATGCTATTCCGTGACACCCAAAGTAGCAGCGATGGGCCACCATGAAAAACCCGCATTGCCACCACCATGTTGTTATTGCAAGGCATAACTCCACCACCAATTTCTTCCATGGTGTTGCAGTAGATTTTTTATTACACTGTCTCAACTTAATCTGTATGGACAGGCTATAGAGGGAAAGGAAGCCGAGTTTTGTGAAGGGTGTTCTAGGGTTTTGGCATCACGTTGTGGCTTTATACATTATCAAATAGCAAAGAGTGAAGAGTGTATTGTTATTATTATTATTTTGTTCTGGGTAGAACAATGACTCTAGTTATTAAAGTCATTCTGATTTTGCTTATCAAGAATTAACTACAAGATAGATGTCAGCATTGTCATGCAATTGTGTACAGGAGCGAGACATTGAGCTGAAACCATGTTAATTTTTTGTTAACTTATTACTTAAGATATTGTTAAAATGTAGAAAGTAGCGAGACATTGAGCTGAAACCATGTGTTTCAGAAGTGTACAAATGCTTTTTATATTGAGAAAAAAAAATTAATATAATAAATAAAGGTGATGTGCTATCCTTAAAAATAAATTTATCCTCTAAGAATACAAATATCATACGAGAATAAACAAAAAATTCTTAATAATGCATATATAATCTACATATGCCTCATTCTAAAAGATTGTAACAGATATTCTTGATTGTAAAGGATCAGGTGTCTTATTTTTATAGTTGTAAAATTCTTCCTCAAGGTGGAGCATATAAGTCATTTGTGCACAACTTGGGAAAATTTCAGACATGATCTCCACCATATCATTATCCATCGAAGATGATTCTTGTACTGGAATGGCAATAAGTTATGGGCAGTGGTGAGATACTTAAAGTAAGCGGTGTTGGAGAAGCATCCCTAGGTACCACAAGATCATATGGTGATGAAGGACAATTGACAAAGGTGTGAAACTGGTTACTTATACTTAAGATTGAAAAGAAATAATTCTTGAGGGCTTAATTGATCCCTCTCACAATCTTCTATTTATAAGAATAAATTGATACACAA